TGAAAAATTTTACATAAATATAAATAATAAATAATTATTACCATAAATTTGTCCAGATACATTTTTTAGAACATGGACACATTCTGACATAGTTTTCAATGCTTTCATTTCATCAAAAGTTCAGCTCAGTTGAAATTATCTACTTTTTTTTGTTGTTACTCTAATAAACAATGTGTTCTAGAGCAACAGAACAAATCAATTTTTATGCATTAATAATTTACTGTTATAATTTGAATAATTTCGTGTCTAAAAAATTAATAATTTTTTCTCTTAAATAACTCACATTAAGATAATCTCTCCTTAAGATTTACTGTGCCAGCCGTTACATAACAAGGGGTCATAGCTCTCCCATGAATGCTCTCATAATTTTCCAATAACTATGATATATACGTTTTTTCATGTTCTCAATATTTTGCACTCCTATGCAAAGAAAAAATATTTTTTTTTTTTGGCGGCCAACTTTTCCCCATTTATTTTTTTAACAATAAAATCATAATAAAGTGTCATTTTATTCCCTCCAATAAATTCCGGCTCATAAATCCTTTAAAATGTGCTCATAATTAGGTTGTACATCTCAGTTCAAAAATCATTTGCATTATATACGTATATAAATCGGCCAATAAACACACAATAAAACAAACTCCCAACTGGCATTGGAGCGGGGAAGGAGAAAATTGTGTGTTGTGGTGTGGTGGGGGAAGGAGTTTGAATTCTATACAACCACAACATCATAACATTTCAATTCTATAATTCAAACAAACAAACAAGGACAACAATGTTCAAATTTCTGTTCACTGCTGCTGCTGCTGAATTATGACTGGATTTGGTGGCATGGTGGTGTTGGTGTTGGTAGAAAGAACACTGCCTGGTATATTGGTGTGGGAGCAGCAACACCAGAGCGTAATTTACAATAAATTTCAAATTGTCATGTTTACGCATTTTGCATTTTTACAACCGTTTTCATTATGACTTGTTTTGTTGGTGTCTCATTTTACATGTTGGCATACTGCCTCCGCCCCTCAACCCATACTTCCGCCTTTCGGCTGAGATCTCAGTGGATGTTGGCTGACTGGTTAGCATTACATTTTTGGCCTCTGTAATGCTGCTGCAAAGTCATGCCTCTATGACTGGCTGGCTGACTCGCTGGCACTGCATGGATTTCTGAACAACTTTATTTAAATGGCCATAAAACAAGTTCTTCTCGTCTCGCATTTATTTGCTTTGGAGAAGTTACAGGGAGTTGGTTGGTATCTACATAAATGTCCGTCTCTCTGTCTGTCTGTCTGCCTATATTCCGGAGTACCAGCATGACTGTGTAAGTATGTGTGCGTGCCGGTTCGTCATTAAATTTCAAATGTTGTTTAGCTTTCTGTTGTATTTATGCGCCTGTCTTTACAAGTCACATAGTCACTTGGATGGAAATCTAAAATCTGAATTGTTTATTACTTCGCCGGTATAGATATTATATTTCTCTAATGTGCTGAGCCTTCACACATTTCTCCAAACCCACCCCTCCGCCGAAAGAAATCTTCTATTCACATTTGATTTGTATAGAACGCCCGATGAATTTAAAAAAAGCAACGTCAATATTCTAAACATTTTAAATAATCATAAAACCACATAAATGTGAAAAAATATAAAAAAAGAAAACGCAATAAACAACACACAAAACAAACAAACAAATCACAAACATGCAAATTCAATATTTGCTTAAGATTAAACAATAAACATTTTTCTTTTTGCATGATATCAAATAGACAAAGCAAACACAGTACGCCCCAATAATATTGGGGAAGATTATGAATTATGGTATTATACATGATATTGATATTTTTATTGAATGCAAATGAGATATGGACAATAAGGCAGGATATTTGATGGCTGGAAGGTTTGGTTTCCGAGATATTTGGATAATTTTCGTGGAATTCCTATGATACGATTAAGAAAGTATTGATTGTTAGAGGATTGTCAGGTTTCTAGCCAAGGCCTTTTTGTACCTAGAAAACAGGAGTTTTATTGAATACCTGAATTACCCTTGGGTTGAAACGAAACCACATATTTTCCTACTTATCAAATAATGAATAAACGCAATGCAGGGTAAGTACCGCCGATTACAAACTCGAAGGTTGTGGGCCCGAGATTCGATGTCGGCAATCGAAAAAACACTCTCGTGAGTAGTAAATTTTTGTCAAAGTAGTAGTCAAGTGGAAAATTACTTTGTGTGTGTGTGTAGAGTCAAAGCGGTTTCAATGACGGCAGAAGCAGAATATTACAAGGGACCGATAAAGCAACCACACTATTAGCAGAGATGGACCTCAGGAATATTTATTTCTGTTACGTTTTCAGCTGCGGCTTAAAAAAATGCACATAGGTATTGCAAATAAAACTACGGTATGACATAACCTAAAAGAGTACTCTGTCAGAGTAGAGTAGAATATTTTCGATTTCCAACGAATTGTACTCGGACTTGAAAATCAACATAGAATATTAAAATTCTTCTTTTTACTCGCTGGAGTACTTCCGCTCGAATTCGGGCGAGTTTTACTCTAGACTCGAATACGGACAAGCATTGATTAAGGAATGGGAGTTTTTGCTGGGTAATATTTGGAAGCAAACATTTCCTCAGCCATATGGCTACAGAGGTTAAATATCATTTCATACGTCCAATCTGGGGGCGTCCGTCCGCCCGTTTGTCTGACTACTGCCCCCTCTAACTCTTGAAGGAAGTATCCGATGTAGTCTAAACTTGGTATATCGTAATATTATCATTTGGTTTAGATGGAGTTCGGAGATGGTCTAAATTTTCCCAAAAAATTATTTACCTCATGGAACAATAAAGTACCATCCTATTTTGTACAAACTTTGCAAATCCAAATATTTTTATAAGTACTAGGTGTGAAAATATACAATATCGACCCACTCCTTCAAGTGCCTCCCCCACGAAGGGTTAAAATTTGGAATAATTATAACTGTTATAAAATGTGAAATATGAGTCCGATTGTTCTCAAATTTCGTACATCTCAATATTTTTACCGAGGTAAGATCTAGTATAAAGAACGGTTAGAACGGGAGAGCCTTTCTGGTACCTCCCCCACAAAGGGTTCAAAATTTTGAAGAAACATGAGGCCCATATAACGCAAAATAAACATCCGATTCCTTTCCAACTCGGCACATTCAAATATTTTTATCAACAGAAAATATGTTATGAAGATGGGATACATCGGCCCACTCCTTCAAGTACCTCCCCCACGAAGGATCACAATTTGGAATAATTGCAACTGTTATAACATATGAAATATGAGTCCAATTGTCTTCAAATTTCGTACATCTCAATATGTCTACCAAGGAAAAATCTGGTATGAAGAACGGATGGAACGGGCCACACTTTATGGTACCTCCTCCACAGAGGGTTAAAATTTGGAATTACTATGAAGCTCATAAAATGCGAAACAAGTTTTCAATTCCTTTCAAACTCAGCACATCTCAATATATCTATCAATGCTAGATCTGGCGTGGAGATAGGATAAATCGCGCCACTAATTCTGGTGCCTCCCCCAACAACGGGTCAAAGTTTGGAATAATCGTATATCTCATAAAGAGCGAAATAAAAGCTCGATTATCTTGAAATTTCATACATCCTAATATTTCTATCAACACAACATCAGGTGTGAAGATAGAATGTGTCAGACAATTCCTTCTGGTAGCTCCCTCACAACGGGTCAACATTTTTAATAATTATATCTCTTATAAAACGAGTCAAAATTTGGAATGATTATATCTCTCTTACATTGCGAAATAAAATTTTTTTTATCAACACAACATCAGGTGTGAAAATGGAATCTGCCGGACAAATCCTTTTGGTACGTCCCCACAACGTGTCAACATCTTGAATATTATATCTCTCATAAAATGCGAAATAAGAGTCCGATTATCTTCAAATTTTAATCTCATAAAACTCAAAATAAACATCCCATTCCTTTTAAACTCAGCGCATCTCAATATTTCTGTCAACACATGATCAAGTGTGAAGTTTTGTCGTGAAGGTGGGATATATTGGCCCACTTCTTCTGGCCATCCCCCACATCGGGTAAGAATTTTGTATAATTACATCTTTCATAAGATTCATAATAAGCTTCGATCTATTCAAAACTTCACACATCCCAATATTTTTACTACCGCAAAATCTGGTGTGAAGATGACAGATACATGTCCACCCCTTCTGGCGCCTCCCCACACAAAGGGTCACTGTTTCCAATTACCTATATCTCTCATAACTTGCCAAACAAATCAGCGATTCTTGGCATATCTAAAAATTTCTCTCAAACCGAGTTCTGCTGTGGATATGATTTTATTGGCCCACTCCTTATCTTACCTCCGCCACAAAACGTTACAATTTTGAATAAAAATCATTTGCAAAGGAAAAATACTATAGTTGACCCTGTTCAACCTCTGACCATCTCTTACTGCCTCATAAAATATTTAGTTATTTTTCCAAGGTACAGCTTTGATGTTCCCCAGTATAAATCGAATCCAGATGTGTCCATGTAAATAAAATTCAATATATTACTGAGTGATTACGAATGTCTATAGAAACAAATTTAAAAATTGTGGCAAGGATATTATTCAGGAGGATATAAAGATTTTGTAAGCCCTTATTGGATACGGCCACGAAAAATACGTGTGAACCAAACTACTCCAGAGTTTTTAGGGGTGCAGAAAAAAACGAGAACAAAAACGGGCTACCCGAAATAAAACTTTATGTAACTACCAAGCATATTAGATCCTCTCCACACAGTGGTGTCGCCCATAAATAATCAACTGATTTAAATCTGGCATACATTTTTAACTATGTTCCACAAAAAAAAAACAAAAAAAAAAACACAAATCCAACAACAACTTCAGTTTATGAGCTACTAACGTGACGACTACAACCTCAAGTAGTCAATTAACAACGACGGAAAAAAATGAGCAACTACCATCGGTGGCAATAGAAATAAATACAACTTGAATTTATTTATTTTCAACATGGCTTCCATAGAATGCATATCCATGGAGTTAATTTATTGGCGCCATCAGATACAAAAACAAACTGCAAAAAAAAAAAAACTAAACTCCATAAACATATCTGCATGTAGTATCTTCAGACTTACCCAATATGGCAATGTGTTTCTAATATATGACCAACATTTCGCTGTTGGATGTCCTCGAACGCATGCAATATTTCGTTGAATTTTGCATAATTCCCATGACGTTTGGATTTTTTTTCTTCTGGTGCTGCAACCAAAACCTGCACGTAAAGAAATGTTGGCGTCATCACTTTGTCGCCGCCAATTGGCTCCACTGGCAAATGGAAGACAAACTAACCCACAAAATGTCCAAAAGATTGAGGGGGAGGGGGAAAAAACCTGTACATGTAATTAAATAGCAATTTTCAAGTGATTTTACATTAAAATTTATACCAATCACGTAGCGGAACATTAGTGGGAAATTAAATGTTTAAAAAAAGTTAAATTAGTTTACTTAACTTGTGGTTGTGGCTAACTTTGAAAAATATTAGTAATGCACTACAAATAATGAAGATTTCGTAATATAATTGCTTTCAGGGAAATTTTCCACCGCAAATTTTCCGCTCCCATTTAGAGGGGAATCTTCTGCATTTTCAGGGATATTTTTATAACCTCAGCCATATGGCTAGAGAGGGCATATATCATTTGACTCGGCCCAACAGTGCCTCATCGAAATAACGGTTTTAGACCCTAAGTCTCTACGGACCAAATCCGTTTCAGGACATTTGCAATCGATCTAGAGATGTCCGTACGACGGGCTGGTGCGCACGATAACTGTCGAAGGGAGGATACGATTTAGTCCAAACTTGACACATCGTAACATTATTATCAAACTTAAATCGAGTTCGTAGATGGGCAATATCGGTCCACTCTTTCTGGTATTTCCTCCACAAAAGGTCGAAATTTAAACAAAAAATATTTTATTGCCAAGGAGGAGAAAGGAAAATCCGATTTTGCTCCAACTTTGCAAATCCTAATATTTGCATCAGTGCCAGTACAGGTGTGAAAATGGACAATATCGATCCACTTCATTAAGAACCTCCCCCACAAAGGGTCAAAATGTTGAATAATTATAACTCATTTAAAATGTGATTTAAAAATCCGATTTTCTTTAAGTAACATACATCATAATATTTTTATTAGCCCAAGGTCTGGTGTACGGATGGAATATATCGGTCCGCTTCGTTTGGTACCTCCCCACAAAGGGTCAAAGTTTTGAATAACCAAAGCTTAACAAGTATCCGGTTCTCTTCATATTCCACACTCCCCATAATTACTACTAACACAAGATCTGCTGTGAAGATGGAATATATCGGTCCACTCCTTCTGGTAACTCCCCCACAAAGGGTCAAAATTTTGATTACCCATGAAGCTCATAAAACGCTATTCCGATTCCATTCAGACTTGGTACATCTCAATATTTTTATCAACACACGATCTGTTATAAAGATTGTAGAGATCGGAACATTTCTTCTGGTATCTCCCCCACATAGGGTTCAAGATTTAAATAAACAAAACACTAAATGAAAGCGAAATAAGCATCCAGCTCTCTTCAAATTTCTAGTACCTCCCCCATAAAGGTTCAAAATTTTGATTATCCATGGAGCTCATAACACGCCAAAATTACATCCGATTCCATTCAGACTTGGCACATCTCAACATTTCTATCAACACAAGATCTGTTACAAATATGGTAGAGATCGGCCCATTTCTTCTGTAACCTCCCCGACAAATAGACAAAGTTTTGAATAAAAAAATAAAATCCGAAATAATGATCCAGTTCTCTTCATATTTCACACATCAAATTATTTCTAATAACACAAGATCTGCTGTGAAGATGGAACGTATCGGTTCACTCCTTCTGGTACCTCCCCCACAAAGGGTCAAAATTTTGATTATCCATGGAGCTCATAACACGCCAAAATTACATCCGATTCCATTCAGACTTGACATATATCAACATTTCTACCAACACAAGATCTGTTATAAAGATGGTAGAGATCGGCCCATTTCTTACCTACCTACCCGACAAAGAGACACAGTTTTGTATAACTAAAACGAGCATAAAATCCGAAATAATCATCAGTTTCTCTTCATATTTCACACATTCCATTACTACTAACAGAAGATCTGCTGTGAAGATGGAATATATCGGTCCACTACTTCTGGTACCTCCCCAACAAAGGGTCAATATTTTGAATATCCATGACGCTCATGAAACGAGAAAATAACATCCGATTCCATTCAGACTTGGTACATCTCAATTTTTCCGTCAACACAAGATCTGTTATAAAGATGATAGAGATCGACCCATTTCTCGTGGTACCTCCCCAACATTGAAAAACAAAATGCTCAAAGTAAACGAAATAAGTATCCAACTCTCTTCAACTTTCTCACATACAAACATTTTTGCTAACACAAGATCTGTTGGAAGGTGATATATATCTGCGACCCCTTCTGGTACCTCACCCATATAGGGTCACAATTTTTAGTACTTTTATCTGTCATAACTTGCGAAACAACTCAGCGATTCTTTACAACTTGCTATATCTTTATATTTCTCTCAGCTAGAAACCTGAGATGAATATGGAACTTCGCATAAAATTGGATAAAAATGTTCGATTTCTTGCAATTTTGCCCATACCAATATTTTTATATGTTTTAGATGAAGTATGAAAATGGAATACTTCGGTCGACTATACCTATTACCTCACTCACATTTTAACATTTTCTAAAAATTATCACATATCTCATATAAAGTGAAGGAAGTAGTCGATATAGTCCAAACCTGGCACATCGCAATATTTATATCACATTTATTTAGGTCCGATACAAAATGGACAATATTGGCCCATTCCTTCGGAAGTTACACATCAAAACACAAATCAAAATATATTTAATAATTCGAACATTGGCTGAGGGTATACATCTGGCGGCAAAACCGACTAGTACCCCTTAATTTGTTAGTTTCCAGTCTTAATAAAATTCTGCCACTTGTTTATGTTAATAAACATCTATGTCATGTCGCAACAATGAAAATTTTGCTATAAAAACAAGTACTAGGTATCGTTATACATTGTTTACAACAATAAATAACATTTATGCAAATTAATTATTATTTGTTAAAATAAATTTCATACTAACCGCTTTAAATTGTAATTTATGTTTTTCCATGACAACAGGGCACATTAAAAGTCCAAATGAATCTAAATCATTAAAAAATTTACATTTTTATTTAGTAAATTCATATACCTGGAAAATACTCAAGGTATTGTTTTTTTTTTTTTTTTTTTCAAAACAATTATCGAAAATTCCATAATGGAATAGTAGAAGCAAGTGTTAATTATTAAATTTACACACCGTTTAAAGGCATGCCTGCATAGCAATCTACAGAAAAAAACTAAAGTGGCTACATGTAAATGAACACGTGACAGAACATGTTAAGCCACCACCACCTCGCCCTCTGGGTAGTTGATGATAGGCCTGCCACTATTTAGAATATCACTGAATTTTGATTGAAATCTACACGAGCCATTCACCAAAACGAAGTGGCTAACAAGCCTCACTGCCAGCTTTGACAAACCCTTTTTCAGCAGAAATTCACAATTCTATTGAATGGGAAATATTTAAACGCCAGCCATGGAACCGTGTTCGAAAACAAAAAACAACAAAACAAAAAACCAACAAACAAAATTGCCTATAAAACAATTACTAAATCCAATCACGTGATAGAGCCCTTTAACATGAAAATAAACAAACAAACAGCAATAACAACAACAAAAATCACACAAAAAATGGGTGTTACAATTCTAAATGATTGTTGTTGCTGTAGCCGCTATTGTTAATCGAACATGAAAAATGTAAGCTATGAGCGATGAATATTTAATGAAATTCTGACGAACAGAACATGGGAGAAAATTTCGGGGCCCTGATGACCAGCAGTAAAGCGTGAATGTGATGTATCAATGAATAAATCACGGTTATCAAAACACCATTAGATTCCACAAATATACGTTTCTTAGGATTAATTTATTAGGGCGATTGGAGATTTTTCATGGAATTTTATTAGAGATATGCATAAATTCGGAACAGAACTACATATTTCTCGAAAGACAAAATTTTTGTGCACAGATTGTATTTACATACCACTGAGTTACTGAAAGAGGGTCACATCTCAAAAAATTTAGTTTCGAGAAAAATACATTTTAAGTTATCGCTTGAAATTGTGCTTTCCGAGTTTAAAAAGATTATTACACAAAAAGTTATATAACTACATATATCAGATGTTAGCAGTTAATTTCAAGCATTGTTTGAAGTATATATGCGCTTCATAAACTTAATTACTTATTTCTTGATTTATGTCAAACTCTAAGAAAAAGCTGTAACTAATTGAGTTCGACAGATATCAGCATGGAAATTTTAGTAGAAAGGTAGATGAGATTGGTAACAAAAATAGAAATTGCTACCTCCGTCCCTAAGTTCATATATACATTAGGGTTATATATTTTTTGCATTTCTTGCAAGTATCAAAAATACCACCACTAGCCATGTAGAGCTAAAAAATTAATACAAAAAATGCACTATCATTTTTCCATAATATTTAAAAAATTTTCTGCACCCATTGCATACAATTTTCCGTTGGAATTTTTACTAATTTTTAAAACGATATTTTTTGGAATTAAATATAATCGTCACTATTCGACCATTTTACTTACATACCCTCAATACATGATTAACTCTAAATCGCTATTTTTATACCCTCAGCCATATGGCTAGAGAGGGTATATATCATTTGATACAGTCAAACGTGCCTCATCGAAATAACGATTTTAGACCCTAGGTCTCTTTGGACCAAATCCGTTTCGAGACATTTGGAACGATGTCCATCCGCCTGTCTGTCTGTCTGGCTGGCTGGTGCTCACGATAACTCTCGAAGGGAGTATCCGATTTGATCCAAACTTGATACATCGTAATATTATTATCAAATTTATATTGATTCCGGAGATGGGCAATATCGGTTCACTCCTTCTGGTACCTCCCCCACAAAATGTCAACATTCTCAAAGAAAATAATTTACTGCACAGAAAGACGATGATAATCCGATTTTGCTCCAAATCCTAATATTTGCATTTGTGCTAGGTCAGGTGCGAAAATGGACAATATCTGTTCACTCCAACAAGTACCTCCCCCACAAAGGGTCAAAATTTTGGATATTTTTAACTCTTATAAAATGTGATATAAGTTTCCGATTGTCTTCAAACTACACATATCACAATATTTTTATTAACCCAAGGTCTGGTATCAAAATGAGATATATCGGCTCACCCCTTCTGGTACCT